AGGCTATTTTAATGGAATTCTGGCATATAAGGGATTGAAATAGAGGCTTTCAATATATTTCACAATTTCCAGGTCCTGTTAAAATTTAGGGATTGTCTGTTTTGTTTTCTGAATGAAGAAGAGGGGAAAAAGAGCAATAAAAATGAGTAAAGGGGTAGAAATTAGGTCATTTGGGAAAGGGCGTTAAAACATAGTTTTATGTGCAAAGAAAAAGTAAGAGAGGACTCAAAAGTATTTCACATACTTCAAGAGTCAGCTGGGGCTATAGCTCAGTGGTAAGAGCACTTGTCTAGCGTGTGTGGGGTACTGGGTTCCATCCTCAGCACCACATAAAGACTAACAAATAAGGGCTGGGGATGTGGCTCAAGCGGTAGCGCGCTCGCCTGGCATGCGTGCGGCCCGGGTTCTATCCTCAGCACCACATACAAACAAAGATGTTGTGTCCGCCGATAACTAAAAAGTAAATAAGTAAATATTAAAATTCTCTCTCTCTCTCCCTCTCTCTTTAAAAAAAAGACTAACAAATAAAATGGAGGCATCCTGTCTATTAGAACTACAAAAAAAGAAAAAAAGAAGAAGAAGAGTTATTGAAAGGAAGGAACTACTTTTTCCTTTCCTTTTTTTTTTTTTTTTTTTGTTACCAGGAATTGAACCTAGCTGCTTAGCCACTGAGCCACATCCCCAGCCTTTTTGTAAAAAAAATTATTTGTTTTAATTAGTTATACCTGATGGCAGAATGCATTTTGATTCATTTGATTCATTGTACACAAAGGAAGCACAGCTTTTCATTTCTCTGGTTGTATACCATGCGGAGTAGCACTATTCGTGCAATCATACATGTGCTTATGTAATGACGTCCGTCTCATTCCATTATCTTTTTTTCCCCCATGCCTCCTCCCTTCTCTACCCTCCCCTTTGCCAAAAGTTCCTCCATTATTCCCATGCCCCTCCCCACACCATTATGGATCAGCATTCACCAATCAGAGAAAGCATTCAGACTTTGTTTCTTTGGGATTGACTTTATTCGCTTAGCATGATATTCTCCAGCTCCATCCATTTACCGGCAAAGGCCATAATTTCATTCTTCTTTAAAGCTGAGTAATACTTCATTGTGTATATGTACCACAGTTTTTTTTTTTTTTTTTATCCATTCATCTATTGAAGGGCATCTAGGTTGTTTCCACAGTTTAGCTATTGTGAATTGAGCTGCTATAAACATTGATGTGGATGTGTCACTGTAGTATGCTTTTAAGTCCTTTGGGTATAAACTGAGGAATGGGATAGCTGGGTCAAATAGTGGTGCCATTCCAGGTTTTCTGCGAAGTCTCCATACTGCTTTCCAGAGTGGTTGCATTACTTTGCAGTCCCACCAGCAATGTATAAGTATACATTTTCCCCCACATCCTTGTCCACACTTATTACTGCCTTTTTTATATTTTATTTAGAACAAGGTCTCACTCAGTTGTTTAGGGCCTTACTAAACTACTGAGGCTGGCTTTGAACTCGAAATCTTCCTGCCTCAGCCTCCTGAGCTGCTGGGATTACAGGCATACCCCACTGCACCTGATTGGAAAGGAACTTGTTATTAATAGTGTTTGTGGTATTTGTGAAATTCTACCTTGGGATTTTCCCATCATCAGTGTCTAAAGAAGGCATTTGTCTTTACTGGGGCAGATATACAACTTGGGTACGAGTTTGCTGAGCAAACCAGGGCTCACAGAGTGTCTACTTTGTACAATAGAATCCTGCATAATATTGTGTTGGGTTTATGGCAGAGGTGCAACAACAGGCATGTGACTATGAAATCCATTAGTCCAACATATTGCATAACTGATAAATACCGCCTGATGGGACACTTAAAATGACTCATAAAAGTCCAGCTAAGGAACCATCTTGGGGATGATGCTCTGTTGGGGTGCAGCCTTGTCCTTTAAAACATGGCTTATACTTAGAGGTCAAATGATACTGTATCCTAGTAGCTAGACTGCTCTCCTGCAGTCCTAGTAGATATTCTTAAAAGCTTCTATGAAATTGGATTTATCAGGATTATTTAATCTTCCAGCTATTGGTTTGGGGGACTGGGATAAATGAGTTTTGAAAAACTTCAGTTCCCCATTAAACAACTTGTAACTTGTAAGAGGAAGCCACCCTTCCCTTCTGGCTTGGGATGGTTATAGAACAATAGTGCTTGGAGCCGTTGCAGTTATCTTAGGAAAGGTAAAGAGACTGAAGGAGCTGGGATCTAAAAGACAATGTGGAGCCTTTGAAGCAACCCTGGCACTGCCTGCTGAACATTTTGTTAAGTTGGGTAACAGATGGTTTTATTTTTTAAGCCACTATTAGACATGGGTGATTTCAGGTGAAAATACAGGCCACATTTATTCCTTCCCTTGGCTTCCTCTGTGCTGATAGTACTGACCTTCCATTAGAGACACCAAAAAATGCGGCCATTTCCCAGCCTCCCTTGCAGCTAGGACATGGCTGTGTGATCTCTGGTATTTGCAGAAAGGTCTGCTGTGAAAGAGTTTAACAAAAAATGGAGTTGGGTGAACATACCTCTATTCTTTGGCTAGATGCAGCTGTGTCTTTATGTGACACTTGAAACTGTGGCTGACCCAGAGGACTATGAGGGGTTGATTTACAGATGAAGCTGATAGACTGAGTGAAAGATGGAAAAAGCTAGTTCATTGATGACAGAGTCCCTGGACTGATTTTGGACTTGCCCTAACTCTTGAGTTTTCTTTCTGTAAACTAATAAATGTCATTTTAAAGTTTTTTTTTTGGGGGGGGAGGGGTAGACTATTTTGTTTCTTGAAGCCAGAAGCTTCTTATCTCACAGAATATCATCTGCCACCGTAAACCCTCTTCCAACAAACTCACTGGAAGTGAAAGACCAAAATAATTTCTGTTGAAAATTTAAAGATTAGCTGGCCCTGGTATTATATTAAAAAGGGAAATTCAGGGTTTTTTTTTTTCCCCACACAGTATTTTATAATGTAAAAACAGATCATTAGGTATTCTGGCAAATTACAAAGACATCTTCCCTCAATGTCCCTGTTGTTGGGAGAATAAACAAAACGTTAAAAGGGACTGCCTTGTTCCTATAGATGTTTCATTCAGTTGGTCATTAGTTTCTAAATTAAACTTTTATAAGAAGAAGGAAAATGTGGCAAATTCTGTAACTCTCAAAAGCTCTCCATAAAAATATACTGAGAACCTTCCCAGAAAAAAAAGCAACCGTATATGTGGGTTCTTTTAATGGAAAAAATAAAAACAACCTAGAGAGTAGTGATATTACATTTCTGTTTATTCTGTTAAACAGAAGACAATAATTTAGCATTTTTTTAAAATTTATTTTTCGTTGTAGATGGACACAATACTTTTATTTTACTTATTCAAACCCAGTACCTCACATGAGTCAGACAAGCACTCTAGCCCCAAGAATTTAGCATTTGAATTCCAAGTAATATTTTCTTTTAATATAATTCTATGCTTATAATATATAATGTATATGGAAAGAGATAATCAAGAAACAGTGCTGAAATTTTACTCATCTGCTTTGTGGTCATTGATGGGAAAAAAAGGTCTACTGTTATTTTTTATCCAGTAGAAGTTAGAAGGTTTTTCCAGAGGCTTCTCATGGCTCTGGAACTGCCCCTTCTAAGATATGCAACCCTCTGCACAGCAGAAATTTTGAGTTCCACTTATTGTCTTTGTCTCTATGGATATTATTTCCACAGATTAAGGAGAAATCGGACTGCCATATTTTCTAGTAGGAAAACAGGTTGCCTGAGTCAGGTGTTCTTCCCTTGAGGTAGCTGAACTGGCTCTGGGCCCAAGGTGAGGGAGCTCTCTGCCTGGTGCATCATTGCTCCACCTTGTGCAAGTTCTGGCAGCTTCCCTTATGAGATTCTCTTGGGAAGTGAGCCCCTGCTTAAAAAATTAGGTGAAAGGCTGGCTCAGGAACGCAACCTTTCACCTAATTTTTAAAAAAAGTTCACAGACTGGCTAAATAATAAGTCTGTTAAGGATGAGGAAAAAAAAAAACACCCACTTCTACTGTTACTAGTTTAATGAAAGTTTTCTTTCTTATATAGTACACTGTAGTTTTCGTTCTACTCATTAGTGTTTGGTGTGTGTGTGTGTGTGTGTGTGTGTGTGTGTGTGTATGTGTGTTTTGTTTTGCTTTCTTCTGGGGCGGTGGCAGTCTACCTGCCCTGGAGTACCCTTTTTTTTTTTTTCCTTTTTGTAGCGTTTCAAACTAGAAGCAATGGCAAACTCTGAAAATATAGAAACTACACTTTTAGATTCCCAGTAATTTGGAGTAAACTTTAACCTTCGAAAGCAGATAGCAAACTTGCATAGTGAGTGAATTTAGGAAAAAACGGGTTATATACTGGGTTAAATGAAGTCTACAAAAGAGAAATAATAATCGGCATGTTTGGAGATTTAGAGTCTCCTCCCGCTCCAGGCATTTCCAAAAGTAGTTTTATTTTGCAAGATTTAACAGAAATTTGTGTACAGGGTAACTAACCTAGTTCAACGAAGAAAAAAAAAGAATATGCATAATTATTTCATGATCTAAATTCCGATTTACACATGATAGCAATAAAAGCGCGTTTGTAGTTCTTTATGGGGGGGGAGGGTGGTCTTTTCTCCTGAGGGACAGCCCTCGCGCAGACCCTCGGAGACCAGCTACTTCTCCCACATCGCGTCCGCCCGTCCCGCTCACGTCCCCGCACGGCGGCGGCCAGGTCTCTCAGAACCGACCCCTTCCCCGCCCCACGCCGGCTGCGGCCAGGTCTGGACGCCGGCGGCGGCTCCGCAGAATGACCCATAGTAACCCCGCCCCGCCCCGGGCCGCCAGCGCCGCGCTCCCCGGCCGGCCTGCGATAGGCCCAGTCCCGCACGCGCCACCGCCCGCGGGCCAATGGGCGGCGGCCTCTCTGCATATGCAACGAGCGCCAGCCCGGGGTGCGCGTCCCGGGGTTCGGCTCAACAGACGCTGCTCAGCCGGCGCCGGGGAGCGACGTCGCTGTTGTCGCCGCGGCTGGGGCTGGGACGAGGAGGCGGCGGACGGGACGCAGACGGTCGTTTCCTCGCAGTGCGGCCGCGCCGGCCGCGCCGGGGTCCCCTGGAGGCGGCGCGGGGCGTGAATGCTCCGGGGCTCAGCCAGGCCTGCGTGGGCCCGAGGCCGGAGGAACCGCGGCCCCGGCGTCTCGGTGAGTGCGGCGCCCGTTGTGGGAGCGGGGGCCGGTTGGCGGCGCGGCCTCCGCGTGCGGTCGGGTGGGCCCGAGGGGCTCCCGGGTGCGGAGGACGCAACAGGCCTGGGCCCGGGTCTCCGCGCCACCGCGGAGTTGGCTCTGCGGCTGTGCGCGCAGGCGGTCGTTGGTGCTGGGGACAAGCAGCGGTCAGGCCGGGAGGCGTCCGTGCCAGGGTCTGGGGAGCGGGCGGCGGGGGCCTCTGCCGGAGAACCCACGTGAGCGGGGAGCCGCATCCCCGGAGGAAGGATGCACAGGTCCCTCCCGGCGCTGCGGGGACGGGGGCGGGGTCGCCCACTCTAATAAGCTGGTGCAGTGTCCGTGGGAGGCAACCCATCCCAGCGGTTTCGGAAAACCCAGGCTGGAGGGACGGGAGTGTTCTTTGCTGCAGGGAGTGGGAAGAATTTGAGCGTGTGAGGAGGGTCGACCTTGGCTGTTTGTTGTGGACACCCTTCCTAGGTGGTAGGACTGGAATTGAGACCGAGGTTTGGGGTTGCTCCTTGTCGGTGTAGTTTTCCTGAGTGCATTTTCATTACATACTAGTATGTCATGGGATGCGTAAGTAACACTGAGAGAGAGCCTATCGCCAACAGTCCTAGGGGGGTAGGTTTTATTAGGTCCGTTTCACAGATGAAGAACCCGAGGCACAAATTGAACTGGTTTGCCCAGACTATCTAGTTCTAGATGTGCTCCAAGCTATTGTTGATAGGGCCCCTCCAAAACAGAAAGAGTAGAACAACGTCTTGAAAATTATATGGGAGCTAAAGAGGGAATAGGCTTTGTGCAAGCGATTATAGCTGAATAAAATGACAGCTGACATTTATTGAATGCCATGTACTGTTCTAAGAGCTTTATGCACAGTATCTTTACACTGTTAACAACCTTCTAGGGTGGTTTCCCATTTTACGGCGGGAGAAACTGCAGCGTGGACACATTAACTTGCCCTAGATCTGAGCTAGTAAGAGGAGAAGCTGGGGTTCAGATGGTCTTGTCTAAATCCAGAGCCCTTACATCCACCACTATAATGCGCTGCCTCTCCTTGGTGGCTGGCCGAATAGTTTCCTGGGTGGATTTTTTGGTTTGGGTGGCCAGGAGAGCTGTAGTTTGGTGACACCATTTCTTGTGATCATTGGAACCTATTTTGTGGTCCCAACTTGGCTCCAAGAGTTAAGGGGTGCGCTCCAGAGAGTGTGTTAGAAAGTTATCACAGGGCTGGGGATATAGCTCAGTTGGTAGAGTGCTTTCCTTGCAAGCGCAAAGCCCTGGGTTCAATCCCTGGCACCACAAAAAGAAAGAAAAAAAGAAAAAGTTTCCACAGGAAAGAGGTGTTGAGACATGGGAGTCCACAGCACAGACTTTATTCTTGTGTTTTCTGGCATTCTGGCATCTTCCTATGCAGTTCTCATAGGTTGGTAAGAGTAAGGTCACTATGGTCACTATAGTATTCATTTCCCCTTTAGGCGTTTTCTGATTTCTGCCAAAAGGGTTGATTCTGTGGGATGACAGTGTTATTAGGGGATAGGACAAGAATGGCCTATTGAACTTAAGGGTCAAGATGACAAGTCATATGGTATTTTGGGGGCTCAGTTATTGGGGTAGTAAGTTATTTGGACTGAGTAACTTCAAGTTCAAATGTTCTGTGAGTCTAAAAATGTCCTCCTTGAAAGGAGAAATGAAGGACAGACCAATTATGAGGGGAAAATCAGCCTCTCTTTTCTTTGCAGGGGGCCGGTGTTGAGGGGGATCGGATATTCAGGCTTCAAGGTCTATTTCATTGTGTTTCCCTGCTGTCTGGTTCCAGTTAAATGACTTAATTCTTTTTGGGGAGTTGGTGTGGGTGTGGGTGGGCACTAGGGATTGAACCCAGGTGTGCTTAATCACTGATCCACACATCCCCAGCCTTCTTTATTTTTAGACAGGGTCTCACTAAGTTGCTTAGGGCCTCACTGAGTTGCTGAGGCTGACCTTGAACTTGTGATCCTCCTGCCTCAGCCTCCTGAGTTCCTGGGATTACAAGTGGGTGCCACCATGTCTGGCACTAATTCATTTTTTCATTCAATTAATTAGTTTACTAGAACTTTCTAACTTCTGTTTCATGTCAGGAACCTTGCTAGGTGCTTGAGGATACAGCAGTAAACAGGATTAATGTGACCTGTGCCCTTAGGCAGAAAACAGACTCCAAGCAAATGATTGTACAGATAAATGAATAATTACAAGTTATGGTACATGTAGTGAAGGAAAGGTATTGAGGGAATGAAGATTATAATCAAGATTGTGATTTAGATAGAAATCTAGGTAACTTTTTTGAACTGATATGGTGAGATTTTACTAGATGACAGTCTTGTATTCTGAGATTGTAGTTGAACATACGTAACACAAGAGTTTGAGAACTTTGGAGCAGTGCTTATTCATTTCAGCATCTATTATCTATAATGCTATTCCAGCTCACCTTTCAAGAGAAGTAAAGGGAGATAGGAAACTTTTTCAAAAGTTGTTCGATCCTCAGCACCACATAAATAGATAACTTAAATCTTTAATATTCGTGAAATGCTTACATTTTTTTTTCCTTGAGGAACAGTTGGAAAGCAAAAATCTTTTGTGTGCGATTTGGATTTGAAGATGGGATTTAGATTTTTCCCCCCAGGAAGCTGGGCCAAAGATGATAGGCTTTTCTAATTTTGGATAAGCAGTATCATAATTATCAAAAGTATCTATTGTAGTTTATCCTTTATAGAGTGACTTAACTTTAAATTCTCAGCTCTCAGGAGGCAAATGATGGCATGGATTGGGGAATAGATAAACTATTAAATACATAAATATTTCAGTTGAACATGTATGAAGCCCATGTAGATAATTCATTACAATGCTTTTACTAAAATCAAGCTGCATGCAAAGTACTTAACTTGGTTGTACCGTGTGGAATAAATACAAAAATGACAGTCCCTTGCCTTCAAGATTTCAATTTAATTAATACCTTTAATACTAATACTCAAATTTAACCTTCCTGCTTTCCAATGTACTACTGGATGTTGGTTCATTGGAGCCTTTAAAAGAGCCCTGATAACAGAAATATTGAGAAAGTGGAGATTTTATGGTAAAATTGTCACAACATGGTGATAAACAGTGTATAAGATGTGAGTTATTGAATGATTACTAGATGTTGAATTCACCAACTGTAGGTCACTATGTGTGCTGGCCAGTGATGGGGCTAGAACTAGGTTTTGGATATGGGGAGAGCATGACTGTAGTTTTGGAAATGACCACTTGGAGCTGCCCTCTATTGAGGTACTGGTTTAGGGTGCAGAAGTAAGGTTTTTGAGCACTAGTGGTAGCTAGTGAGATTGCCTATAGAGAGGCCAAAGGAGGAGGCCTAGGCTGGTGCTGGGTAGAGAAGGCTGAGTTTGTAAAGGAGAACGGTGGCCAGGAAAGTGAGAGGACAGCCAGGAGCAGATGTTCCTGCATGGGAAGATATTTATTTCTGTGGAATGCTCCTGTGAGAGCAGAATTGAGAACCATCATTGGTTTAGCACCATGGAAGTCATTGGTGACCTACACAGGAAATGCTGATCTGGTGGCAGGAGATGAGGGAAATGGAGACAGCAAGTGTATAGGAAATTTGTTTAAATGTTGATGGGAATGCTTGCTTGACAGGGAGAGGTTGAATATAGCAGAGAAAGGGTCACTCATTCCTGTATAGTTCCTAAGAGGATGGGAGGGCATGAAATTCAGAGCACTAGCCAGACCTGTGACTTAGCTGGGAAAAGGGGCGAGGGGCATGTCTTCTATAATAATGGAAAACAAACCTGTACTTCATCACAGAGTTCTAAACACGTTCCTTTAATTTGCCAAGAACTATTTTATTCCTAAAAATCAAGCCAATTTTTGCTGATTCATGACCTAGTCTTTGAGAAATCCACACCACAGAAACATTGTGTGAAATTGGTTTAGTAAGTGGTTTAGTCTTGACTTCATTTACCTTATTAAGTTACATACTTTAATCTGACTTTTGATTATAGTTTATGCCTTTTATGAAGGAGAAATGTTAAATTCTGTGATTTCTTTCCTATGTGCTTATTTTTGTTAAGAAAAAATCTTCAGATTTGTTCTGTTTTCTGAGATTTTAAGTGCTACCTTTTTAATTAAAGTTTTGGCATCTCTTATTACTGAACTATGTTCTCTTATATACTGTTTAAAACATAAGGAATTCTGTTTTAAATTATGTTTTAATTATTAAAACATAAGGAATAACAAACAGAATTTTTCCATTTTGAAGGAAACAGTGGACTCATTTGATCCGCCATTTATTTAGAATTGAAGCTACTCAAGTAACTAGCCTGTTTTAGATATGTCACTTCCAAATATAGGTATCTACTTATTTGTGAAGGCGTTTGTTGTCATGGTATGCAGGGACATTGATTCATTTATTGTCTGTTTATTTAATGTGTACCCTGCAAGGTACCAGGAACTTGGAAATGATGAACAATTAGTTTCTGCTCTCAGAGAGCTCATGACAGGAAAGAAGTGCGTGAACAAACATCGAAGCGTGGTGTGATGGAAGAAGGCATATGAGTAGATCCGTTACAGTATGATTAATTAGTGCAGCAGTGGAAGAAAAACATGCAGAGTGGGCACAGAGCAGTGGGGCTGAGCCAGGTTTTCCAAGATGAAATGAGTTTTGCCAGGTGAACAAGGGAGCCAGGAAATAGAATGCTTTACCTTGAATTTGGAGCAGGTGGTTGTGTGTGTATGCATACACAGATATATTCACATCGAAGAATGATTGAATAATATTGCTAAGAAAATTTAAAAAAATTTCTTACTGTTCTAACATTGCTTGCTCAAGAGGTGCAAAGCTGCTCAGTTTTCCCTGCCCTATCATGGTCAACTCTTTATTCCATCCTCTATTTCATGTAAAAAGTATTGGTCTTAATTATATTCTTCTGATACAAAACCTGGTTTTT